AGGAATGGCAGGCGCTTATCTGTCTCAGCCAGGTCTCTGTCAGCCCGCACACGACACACATCTCTTAAATCACAGCAGGCAGCTAACAGAGATAATTGCCTGTGTGACTCTGACGTCTGTCTCATAGACCCCGGATGTAAGGAGAGGCCCAGAGAGCATGGATTGAGCCAGCACAGCAAAGATGTTTTTACTTGGGCTCATAGTCGGAGATGAAATGACAAGCATTAGGGTCCAAGGGGTTTTCTTGTCCAAGAATGATCTTCACTAACATCACCTCAGCTGCCAGAAAGAAGTCCCTGCAGACTCTGGGTACCACTGCTTCCAAAACGGGTGACACATCAAACAGACAGACCTGTACATAATACAGACTCCCTTACAGAAGGGAAGCACTCATGCTCCAGAAGCTCTGCCATCCATCACCGCATCCTGAAGCAGGAGAATGATGATCACAGAGATATTTCCTAATAGTCCAGGCATACCACCATGTTCTGCTTCAGTTCCCAGAAAGAAATCAGCCTTCAGACAGCAAAGCCGTTGCCCCTAGATTGGACATGACCCCAGCTTCCCTGATATCTCAGAGCTCTATTGGTTGTTCCCTGACAGGCAGATCAACCAGTTTTCCAGCTGCTCTGCACATGGTTAAATGTTGGAGCACACTAAACCACAACAGCTCCACTGACATTCGGGAGGCACAACGCAGCAGGAGGGGTCCCCAACCCAGCACACATGCACTGGGCTGGATCACCTTGGGGTAACCCCCCCACTCTAAGGCTAAGAAACTCTCACTTGAGGTACTGAACAAGGTGGGAAAACAGTAGTAACTGGATCAGAGCACCAGGCACACCACATGTTCTTTCCCAAAACAAGATCCTCCATTGTTAAGCCTCTGCAACACTCCCTGACCCCTGCAGGGATGAAAGAATGGACAACACCCACCCTCCCAATCACACAGATCACATAACAGAGCAAGGCAAGCAAAGACTTCCCTTTCCACCACCCAGAACTTCCCCTTGAAGTGGCCTCAGGCGAAACAGATTAGAGGTGACAGGCAGAGATAGCGCAAGGTGTAAGGCTTGTACTGTGTCAACCACTACTGATCCTTTATCACCTTCCCCCAAAACACTGCAGTACACTTAACATTCAGGGGAAACCACACTCTTCAGCACAGCCACGCTGCCCTGCAGATTCAGAAACTGGTAGGAGAGTGCTCTCTATGCACAGAGCAGGTGGCTGCTGAGGGAGCAAGCAGGCAAATTTCTGACCTAAATCAACTGTGTTTTCAACACTACTTCTCCTATTTGCAAGAAATCCTAAAGTACGTTCACCCCGTTCCTCTGAGAGGCACAGAAAAGCACTATTGTACCTGCTCTCCAGACAGAGAAATGTAGGGAGGTTCAAAGACTCCCCCGAGGTTATACACATCACTGACAGAGCCAGAAACAGTACCTAATTCTTTAACCTTAATTCTTTAACCATTCTTTCTCAGTTGTGGGCTTCACCTATCAGGCTAGGCCCCTGGTTAACACTGTATCACTCAGCTCACAAGCACGGTATTGAGTCATGATGCCAAGAGCTTCTCTGGCACTATTTGCTTTAAATGTGACATTGTAAAGTTAATGGAAATGACTCCCTATTTCAGCTTCACTTGAATCTTAAATCAACTTTAGCTAATGGAATAAGTCATTTCAGTTTAAGAAAGCCATACAGCCTTTAGTACTGCTCTCACGTTCATTTCAATTCACTGCTTCAGTTGTACCAGAGAAGCCTTCCCTCACATACCCGCTCTCTCCTACAGCTACACACCCAAGCGAAATATTCACATGATGCAGCAACCTGTGCTAGACAAAGCAGCTAAGGGTGAGAGGAAGAGCAGCAAGAATCAAAGAAAGGAAAAGAATTCAGAAGGTGCCACCTAATTACTGACCAAATAGAAATAATTGCAACAAAGTTGCCCCCAAAACTATATAGGGTCTGCTCACTGCAGCCTCCCCTTCACCCTCCAGAAAGAAGAGTAAGCGCCAAGAGACAGACCCCTCCTCGGCCAGCCCCAGGGACAGTTGACCAGAAGAAACCCCTCCAGTCTGGGTCCTCGAAGATGTAAGGCAGGATACGTGTGAGGAGCCGGCAGCAGTTCAAGACGATTTGCCTCTCCTTCTCTGTGTGGCAGCAGCTCCCCGCTCCCTGCACCAGCTTCTCTACAGCCTGAAAGAAACAAAACCAAGGCAGGTAGCATTAGCCTGGACACAAGTTAGCAAGAGTTACGCAGGCCTGTCCTGCTGGTGACACACTCACATAGCATTACAAGCTCATCTTGGAGCCCATTTTCTCCAAGTTCAATGGTACAGGCACTGCTGCTGTTTGAAACACTACAGAAACAGGGTTAATTATCTTAAAACAGACCTTCTCTGCTGTCCAACTGCAAAAGACCTCACATGCCAGGGCTAATCCATGCAGCACACGTGTTGTGCCACGTGAGACAGCGCACCACAGCACCAGAAGGCTCCTTCCAGCACTGGTCCATGACACCACACACTGCAAAGAGCAGATCAATTAATCAGCCGCATCAGGTACACAAGACGCAGGCAGAACCAAGGCAGCAGCACTGTGCTGGACGGCGTGAGGCGCTGGCAGGGGAAGACTGCACAGAAACACAAAGTCTGACAGATCTGTATGTCCTGTTGTGATGACAGCAGGGACCTCTCCTGACTCAGGAGGTGGAAGCTAAGCTGCTGCCTGTGACCATTAAGTGTACAAATACAGACTCCAGCAGAGCCTGTCAAGGTCCTGCTGCAGAGGAAGGTGGTCCCTCAGGTTTCCCCCACAGAATCACAGAATCACAGAATAGTAGAGGTTGGAAGGGACCTCTGTGGGTCATCTAGTCCAACCCTCCTGCTGAGGGAAGAAGTTCTTCCTCATGTTCAGACGGAACTTCCTGTGCCTCAGTTTGTGCCCATTGCCCCTTGTCCACTCACCCTGTGAATAGGACTGCTGCTCTGGAAAGAGCTTCTGGGCTGAGTCTCTGCAGCCCATCTGATCACTACTGGGTTTTCAGAATAGGATGTGGGTCTTGCCAGGCAGCAACCACAGCCCCCACAGTCTGAGGTTTTACCCACAGACAGAAAAGGGCAGCTCCTTCCCCCAGCAGGTTCACCCACTTGTTCTTACTCCCTGATCCCAAGGGGAAACATGGGGGAAATGAAAGCCAAAACATTTACCAAGGATTCACTTTGCTGCTTTTTAATTCATGAGGTCATGTGTCCCTGCTTATTTTCATAGCAGACTGTCTGGGTCACTGACTCTGCTAGCCTGCGTCATTGCCTTAATGGGTATTTAAATGCTGTTTGTGTAGTCTCGGTCTGTTCACACACTCCTCTACGACCGAGCTTAACTATTTTCTCAGGCTCATTTATGACTCTCTACAGTCTGAGTCTCCAGCCATGACTGCAAACGACATTTCAGCCATGCCGTTGTGCCCTCCACAAACATGCAACATTGCTCAGTCCAGTGGCACACTGCACAGGTCAGGGCCCTCAGCCTGGCAAAAGCACGGCAGGAGTCTGCAGGCTCCTCTGGACCCGATATCCCAAGATCTAGGGCTCCTGGATAAACAGATCTGCAATGACCAGGTCCCCCAACACATCTGTTTCCAGTAGTGAGAACAGCCCATGTTTTAGTCTTGGTTTCAGGAGAAAGAGAACACAGAGTCAAAGGGGTCATGTGGTCTGTACAGGTCTTCTCAGCCCTTCTTGATTCCCATGCTGATGATTTCCAGAAGCCAGGAGACAGCACTAGGGAAGAACCACTCAATTCTTCCTCATTTTTGTATTCTTTCTCAACTATCCAATACAGGCATCTGTCTGAGGCACAATTCCCAGTCAGAGGTACCTTCAGTATGATTCAGTAGGTCTCATTCACATTTTGTAGAGCAGGAAAGAAAAACAGGATGGCAACAACCATTTAAAATTGGGAAAATGCCATTGCAAATGTTCCCAATACTACAAATTCAAGGCTACTCTTTGCATGGCTCAAATCAGGAGCATTATTAACACCTGCGCTTTCCCAGGCAGAACAAAGCTCAGGCTGTTCCCTGAGCACCATCAGCTGTTGCTCACAAGCTTGACATTTTGCCAGACCTGGCAGAGTAGGAAAAGTGAGTCAATGTCCCTTGCGCTGCACATAAGGACGTGGCAACACCAGAAGCAGCATCAGGGACGTTCTGATGTCACAGCAGAAGGAAGAGAAGTCTTAAGATCCCCCTCAAACTTCATCCAGGCACTTTTACAGTGACAAACTCCACATCCCTCTGGGATCTAGGAGTTTGAAGCCAAACTGATGCACGGCGAGGAGCAACTAGATGCAGACAGGGCAGGAGATGTTTCAGCCTTGCCACAAGTACGAAGCCTTGGTACAAAGTCACCTAAGCAGGAAGCAGTTTACACAGCAGGCAAGACCCAAGAGGGCAGGGCGAAACACAGGACGGGGACATGAGGAAAAAGGCTCCAACGTGAGCAAATGCCAGCTGTGGTCGGTGCTGAACCAAGAGAGGAAGGGCTGAGCTACCATCAGGAGAAGACAGGGACAAACAAGCACATCACTGGTACAAGGATATAATACGGTACCTGTCTGCCCTCGGGAGCCACAGGACTATTGATCCAGGGACACACCCCTACCAGCACAGCACCAAGGAAGAAGACAGCACCAACCTTACCTTGTAACACAAAGTCGCCAGGTTTGAAGGCGATTCTTCTCTCACTGCTCGGATCTCTGCAGCAGGTACAAGGGCAAAGACATCCTGCACTGAAGTGGCTGTGTCTGCCCAGAACTGGTCCCAAAAGGCATCATCTGTTGCCTCCACAGGCTGTGGAGAGACAAACACGGTTACAGACGAGCACTAACATTCTATGAGGCCCAAACATCAATAACTATGCCTGGCTGGGGGATGGAACCAGGCACAGAAAAGATTCAATAAAACATACACACACTGGTGTTGTAACTCAACCTCTGTTACCAGGGCTTTGGCCAATGTGATCTCTCTCAGCAAGGGGGTGAGCAGCCAGACATTTATGCGACCAACTGCACCAGACTCTCCAAATGTTGCATGGAATCATAACACACACAAGGCCTCCTGCTTGTCTGCAAGCTAGGGCATGTATTACAGGGTCTTTACCAATGTACATGGGCTAGGCTGCTGCCATATGCTGTCACCTTCAGAGCAACCCGAGGACGCCCTGAGCATGCACTGGAATTGCTTCTGTTGTAACCAAAGTCTCGAGGAGGCAATCCGGAGCATCTCACATTAAGGCAGGAATAGACCCACGGAACTGACAGACCCACCTCAAAGCACTTATGAATGCAACAGAATTGATCTTTCTGAATCAAATATTTATGGGGAACTGGACTCAGTGCAGCTGGTCACTGCCAAGGGTTTGTTCTTAAAAAGCACTAAGCATGAGATTCAAAGAGGCAGATGGAAGGAGGAGACTGATATACCAAAAAAAGCAATCCATTTCAGCCCTGTGGTCTGAGAACCCCCTCTTCCCCATGTGCCTGGGAACACACATCTTCCCACTACCTTTTCTGGCTCTGCAGGCGCAGACAACCTCCTCTTTCACCAGCACTGTTGACCCCTTTTCACAGTGAGAGAATCGGGATTCTCCTCAAGCCCACCCCACAACCCCACTGCTGGGGACGCTGGCTGTAAGGACGGTCTGTTTGCCAGACTGCGGCTGGAAAGGCAGCTCCGTACAGCTGGCTGCAGCGTCCCCATGTCATTTCCCCCAGCTTCTTCCTGACAGCGTGGCATCAACTTTGAAATCAAAACAACAACGACGACAACCTGGGTCTCAGGTTTTATGCGGCTGAACAAAGCGGACCGGACCTTGCTTTGCCCTTTCTGGCTTGTAGAGATAGAGCAGCGCTGGCCGTTCAAAGCTGAGCAGAGGCAAACAGCAGCTCAGACACGCAGGGCCAGCAATGCCTCCAACCCTGCGGAAGCACGGCGATGACCTGCCGCTCCCCAACAGGTGAAAATGCCAGCACTGGTTGCTGAACGAGAAGGAATCTCCATTACACAACATCTCAGGCATCCAAAGCAGGAAAGACATAATTTTTCAGCCAATCTAAAACTGAGCGCAGCTCTTCCCATCTAAATGCTAATACTTGCCAAGAGATAGGCATCGTCCAAACAAGGCTGGGAGTGCTCACCCAGCCCAAGGGTCCTGCTATACGGGTGGGACAGATACATATGTATTTATGCTGAGCAGTGTGAAAGAGATGATTTCTGTGATTTCAGTCAGAAGAGGAAAATGGAAGCTTTTCCAGCGGCGTCCCCCCAGCCGTGCCGAGGCATGGTGGCACGCTCGGCAGGTCAGAAGAGCCTGAGCAACCCCAGCCCTCGGCTTGGGGTGAGCCTCCTGCCTGCAACGTGCGGCAGCTCCGAAGCAAACAGCACCTCTCGCTAAGTGTGATAATCAGCACTGTGGGTGGGTCTACCATGTCAGATGGGAAAGGGGCAAAAATATGAACGTGTGTTTAACTTAAACAACTCCTGCCCACTCCCAGCTCCGCTGTAGTAGGCAGAAAATTTGCCCAGCTCTATGATGTTTCTAAATGCAGCAAAGATGCGACTCCGGGGAGAGCAGCTCATTCAAAGCTCTGACACCAAGAAGTGAGGCATTTCCCCCTTCGCTGTCACCTCCTGAATAAACAGCCACAGTCTGTGAGCAGGTGATGTGTCACTACCACCCAAAGGCCAAAAAGTGAGAGGGGCGGGCAGGCAGGCAGGCCACCCCCAAACTGGTATAGCAGGTTACTGCCCTGCAGCTCTCTGCCCTAACGTTCCAGGGCCAGAGGCTGCTTATTGCATGTCCTGGTCCTTCCAGCCATGCCATGAATCAGCCCAAGAGACTCTCCAGTTTTTAAAAACAAAAAGCAGAAAAAACCCCACGTGTGTTTAGGCATCTTCTTCAACTCTGCTCTAGTGCTGAAACCCTCTTCATCTTATCACCTGGCCACCAAAGCAAATTCCCACCAAACCTCTTCCCCAGGGAACAGCAGCTTTCCCAAACGGTTCAAGATCACAGCTCCTCAGAGGGGATCTGCAGGAACAGCCAAGTGTTTACCGCCTGACTTTCAGCTTCCTGAGTGTGCGAAGGAGCTGCGCTCTTTGTAACCTGGGCATGAAATGCTCAAATGGAAGCAAAGCTTTTTTGCAAAATCTTCTCTCTAGTTACACTCCTCAAAAAAAGCCAAGTATTTGAAAATACGATCTATGTAATGCACAAAACATCCTACATTTCCTACACCCCCTTTCAAACCACGTACCACAACCACATGTATAATTGCCACATGTACCTACTGGCTGCCTGCCACAGCCCCCCCCCCCAATTGCTGCTAATTGGAGATCATGCATAAATAATGGACTTCACTCTCATCTAGAAGGGAAGGAGAAAACCATTTCCCTCCAGCAGACACAGATCTTTTTACCTCCCACTAGCCTGAGGCCTCCTCAGAGGTTGAACACAGCTGCTGTTTTACAGATGGGAAAGCAACAGCTAAGCCGGATTGAAGAACACGATCTCCAACTAAAATTATGCAGAGGTAGAGAGGCATAGCAGCAATTATCCAAGCTGCAACGTTGGATGCTGCAGCCACATTAATGTCACGGCTGCCATCTTGGCAAGTAGATTATACTAAAACACCATTTCTTTCATTTTTAATAGCTGCAGCAAGTCAGGTCCTCATCCAACAGATGGTATCCCATGTACAATCCTGGGACATGGATTCGGTACTGAGTCACTCACATCCCCACAGCCCCCCTCTTTTAATTAAGAGTCTGGCATCATGAAGCTACTCACTCCACATCATATTCTTCTTCACGATAGAACATTATTGGATGTTTTTAAGCTGTGTTCTGCACACAGCATCTCTGGGGATCTAAATATCCGCTTCCTCATGCTGAGCTCACCCATCAGCCTGTATCCAGCTCACAGAGAAGCGAAACACCGAGACCTAGAACAGCCTTGTTCGCCAGCCACGTATATCTACATTTGGAAATGTCAAGATTCAGTTACAAGTGCTGGTACTGCACATTCTGCAGTAACAAATCCCACAGCACTGCAGCTAGCCTTGCCAGTGCTTTAACCAGCAGAGCTCACGAGGAGCTGAATCCTCACCCCCAATGCTGTGAGCTGGGGCCACTTTGGATCCTCCAGATCAGCACAGACGTGTCCTCTCTTGGTGAGGGAGCTGCAGCACACAGATAAGACAGACCCTGATGCGCCTCCAACACAGTGCAGAAAACCAGCCCTGCACCAGCAGCGCGACAAGAATGAGAACTTCATCGTTGGCCCAAGAATCAAGGGAGCAGTAGCTCAACTCTGGAAACACAACCAGCACATCTGGAGAGCAAAGCAAGTCACTGCCTGACCCCCCACGCAGCCTATCGCAGAGGCTGCTGAAGTTGCAGAGCTAACTGTTAGAGAGACACTCTGCTGCCTGAACCCGGCGCTCCACACCAAAGGGAAGAGACGACTGCAGTGCAGAGTGGTTGCTGAGAACACAGTGGGCAGAGCTGAGGTGATGCGACATCTCGGAGCAGGCAAGGAGGGAGACACTTGCCTTCAGTTCACTTGGGTGAGGTGTAAAGACTTCCCACTCACGTGCTGGCCATACAAAGGTGGAACCAGTCCTGCTGGACACCTCCGGTCTTTATTTCCCAATAGTTACAAATGTTGGGTTTCAGGTTCTTTAAAGCACACCATAGATGCATGCTGTGGGAGTCAGAAAAGGCAGACACTCCGTTTGCAAACAACTTGCCAGTTACTGAACAGCGAATCGCAGCCCTCAACAGGCAATCCCCAGGCCAACAGAACACGTCACAGGAAATGGGAAAACCGAGTGGAGCCGACCATGTCCTATAAACAGGAAAAGGTCCCCAGGCACAGCCTCCCCCACGCGTTACTGTCCTCAGCCTGACACTAGCACCACCTTCGCTTTCTCTGTCAGACAAACTCAGGCAGGGTGAGTGTTTGCACCCTCCTCCCAAGAGCTCTCTGCACTTAGAGCCGCGCATCGAATGCCCAACAATTCCTCCAACAGGACCTTACCGGAGGTCTGTCCTTAAACCTGTTCTGAGGGTGCTGCAAAGTGCCAGTGGAGAATCAAGGGGCAAGCAGAGCCTCTAGACTTGCTCACTGTAGTCTCCTTTTGCTTCTTGCCAACACACCAGTTGAGCACCCCATCAGCTGAGGCAGCGAGGCAATTGGCACAGGGACTCTCCTTTTTCTGGGACTCCACAGCAGAGCAGGGCCCTCATCCCTGACCAGGGTTTTTCACCTGCACCACGTAAGCTCAGATAATCTGCAACAGCAGCGTGCTCCTTTCCACCCCAGATGAGGCAGAACCACGGAGTGTAACGACCACAGAGCCATTCACGCAGCGCTCGATTGAGCTCTAGGAGATCAGGCAACCCCACAGGGCCAGCGGATTAGTTTGAGGCAATTCATGCACCTTTGTACCACCTGTTTGTGAGCCACTGGGCAAAAGGAAAGTCTCAGGACACTGCTGTAAAGGACAGCAGCCGCACACAGATTTCAGAGCAGAAATGAATTTTTCTAAGCACAAGATGTACTTGTATCAGCCTCAAATTAACATCATGTTGTACTACAGCATGTCCACATCAGGGAAAAAAAAAAAAGGACTGGAGTTTGTCCCTCATGTTTGACTCTTCCTGTTTCTTTAAAAGCAGACATAGCTAGCACTAAATCTAACAAGCTGGTTCACAAGGTTAAAATTTCTTATCTTCCAGTCGGTCGCTTGCAGAAACCGTTTAATTGCCAACTGGCTGTGAAAAGATAGCGAGTTTCCCCAGCAGTTCAGATGTCCAGCTTCAGTTCCCTACTCTGCCACTGACTAGTTGTCATACTCACCATCGACACTTCCCTTCACCTGTTAAGTAGACAGCATTTTTATGGGCAATACGGGAGGGCTCACACATTCTCTATGATAAAGCACACCTGTGTTGTTATTAAAAGGGTGGGACCCACCAATTTAGAGGTGTGCAGTGTACTGTTATATGTATCATATAAAAATCCTAAAGCCCGTTTCTCCACATGTGATTATAAATATATATGTGTAGCATAAGCTAAGTCCTTCCTTCCGGTATTACTGCCCTTTTTGAATCACTGAAATCATTCTGAAGTGATTTTTCTCTTTTAACACTCTTACACCTTCAGAGTGGCAATTAAAAAAATCATTAAAGTCAATTTCATTTGTGTCCAGATTTGGTTCAACTTTCCAGTTCTGTGCTCCACATGTGCTACAAGCATTCAAGTGTCATGCTCCTTTTTTTTTTCTTTTTTTAAATGTTCACAAGGGAACATTCACATTTTTTAATAAACGAAAGACTGGAGATTATAAGAACTTATTTTTCAGAAAAATTTAACTTCAGTGGCAACTCTGAACCTTCACGAGTGAGTGAAGAGTGCTTTCTGCTCAACCACTTTCATCAGAGCGCTAGGAAACACCGCGTAACGCATTACTAAGCTCATGGTTTCATGTTACCAATGATTTGATGAAAATCTATTTGTCCAGCTACCTAATGTCAGAGGAGAAGGCTGCAAAAAACCAGACACGCTGCTGAGAAAGCAAAGCGTATTGTGAGCTAAGAGCTCTGAAGGATTTGACTCTGTCCATTATTGTAGCCTGGTTTTGAATTCAGGGTCCCATGGATGTAGAGGGGACATGGAGGTTGCTGCTGGCACAAGGTCAGCAGGCTCCCGGAGAGTCCAGTCACGCATCCTGCACAAGCAAACACCAGTGCCCGTCTATAGTATGTAAATATGGGAGCGCCAACACCCCACCCTTTTTCCACATGGCAGTTAGTCTCACCTAGACCACAAAGATGTGAAATGAATGCAGCCAAGAACGAAGCTTTTTCCCCTTCCTTTATTCACGGCCCCAGTGAACCTTCTTTCATTACACACGTCGATAAACCGGGGGAGGGGAGCACTCTCTTCTTGGCTGGCGAGCTGAAGGATTGCCTCATACAGGATTTTCTTTGTGAACAGCAGACTGAGAAGATCCCTACAGGCTTGGATTTTGCGACCCTCAATCTCAATTTATAAGCATGTTTCCCAGTGGAGGAAGGACAGTCCAAAGCTGAAGGTACTCTGAACTATTTGGCATCCAGAAAAGACTTTGGAAGAATCCCTTAAAACATTAATTCATCCACTTCTTCTTTTGCCTAGGGATGTTGTGGAACATCCACAGTTGGAGGTTTTTAACAACACGTTTGCAGAAACCATTCCTGAGCAATGCAGATAGAAGTGATACTGCTTTAGCAAGTATAAAGATGATTTCTCAAAGGCTCTTCCAGCCTTACTTTCTATGATTCATTTCACAGTCCTATTCCTGAGTTTTCACAGATTTTCTCTTATTACCCTTTACCCCTTTGCATCCATACACTTTTCTTCTGAATTCATTTCCCATTGTTAAATATCTTACCGCCATCGTCACCAAGTTTTCTTGGCAGCTGTTACTCCTTCACCACCAAAGGTGGTCTACTAATTTTCTGCCCATGTGCTGCTGCTGCTGCTGCCCTCCCACCTTAAGACAAGAAACTAAGCTAGCTCCCAGGCCACAAGCAACATCTGTTAGACCTCTAGGCAACCACCCTCCCTATACACAGTCCCGACTTCCTCTCACTTAATTCCTTCTCCTCTTCAGCCTGCAGAAATAAAGCATTATTTCACAGGCCACAGATGGAAGCTGCTTCTGCTGCAAAAAGCTCACCCCAACAGCACGCTTGGCCAACAGCCCTTTCAATTGCCACTAATTATTCGGGGGGGTGCAAGATGCAGAAAAGGCAGCACTCCCAAACCTTGTGGTGACGTAAACCCGCAGCTGCATACACTGGGAGCTGTGGACATCCCTTACGACAGCAGCATCTCGGTCTGGTACCACAGGACGCTGCTTAGCAGCAAGGCGCAAGATGTCAGAGGCGGCGAGCGTCGCGATGTCCACAGGCACAGCCCTGCCAGACCTGGTGCCCTGGGGCACAGCACGGCCTCACCGCCCGGCTCCCGCTCCCCCTCCGTGGCC